CCTAGAAGTAGTAATACTTTTTTTTCTGAAGAGTTCCCTGCTTTAACCAGCTTTCCAAATTCATGGTTGTTGATTGGTAAAAAAAAAATACAGATCTCACAACCTGACTGAAAAGGATGCTGATTTTGATAACGCTCTGAGAAAGAACTGAATTTAAGCAGGACTTTTGAGTTAGACTTATTATTATTAGTATTATTATTATTGTTATTATTATTATTATTGCCATTTATATAGCGCCAACAGATTCCATAGCTCTTCACAATATTATGAGAGGGAGGATTTAACTATAAATAGGACAATTACAAGAAAACAGGAATGATAGGTTGAAGAGGACCCTACTCAAATGAGCTTACAGTATATCGGAGGCTGGGTATAAAACACATTGTGACAGAAAATAGCAAACAAATAAGGTGGGAGTGAAGCAGAGCTGGAGGAGAGAGTAAAGTGCTGCCCTTTAGGAGAGAGCAAGAGACAGGTATGTAAGGTAGAAGTTACTCTGGGAGGCCATAAACTTTCCTAAAGAGATGGGTTTTAAGGCACTTCTTAAACGATTGAAGACTAGGGGAGGGTCTGATGGTGGTAGTCAGGCTATTTCATAGGAAGGGAGCCACCCGGGAGAAGTACTGCAAGCATGAGTTGTATGAGTCGCATGGGTGCGAGCAGTGGACAGGAGAAGGTCACGGGCAGAGCGGAGAGATATAAGAGGAGCTAGAATTGTTCAGTGCTTTAAATGTATGGGTTACCACTTTGAATTGATTCTTATAGGATACAGGAAGCCAATGTAAGGACTGACTGAGGGGTGACGTGTGAGAGGACCGACTAGAGAGGAAAATTAGGCAGCATTCATTACAGACTGCAGCGGGGCAATGCAGTTTTTGAGAAGACCAATTAAGAGAGGGTTACAATAACCCATGTGGGAAATTACTAGAGCATGGAGAAGCCCATTGGTAGCATCTTGCTTGGAGCAAAAAGATTTGAATAATTTGAAAAAATACAGATCTCACAACCTGACTGAAAAGGATGATGATTTTGATAACGCTTTTAGTAAGAACTGAACTTAAGCAGGATTCTTGAGTTAGACTTGAAGCAAAACGATTTGAGCACTTTGAAAAAATACAGATCTCACAACTTGACTGAAAAGGATGCTGATTTTGATAACACTCTTAGAAAGAACTGAACTTAAGCAGAATGTTTGAGTTAGACTTGGAGTAAAAAGATTTGAACATGTTGCAAAATACAGTTAACAGTTTCAATGCCCCTGACAGAGTCTTGCAATGCCCCTGACAGAGCCTTTTAATGTCCCTTACAGAGCCTTTTAATGTCCCTAACAGAGAGTCTTGATGCCCCCAACAGAGTCTTTCAATGCCTCTCAGAGAGTCTTTCAATGCCCCTGACAGAGTCTTTCAATGCCCTTGACAGTCTTTCAATGCCTCTCACAAAGTCTTTTAATCTTTCTTACAGAGCCTTTTAATGTCCCTAACAGAGAATGTCAATGCCCCTGACAGAGTCTTTCCATGCACCTCAGAGAGTATTTCAATGCCCCCGACCAAGTCTTTCAAAGCCCCTGACAGAGTCTTTCAATGCCCTTGACGGAGTCTTTCAAAGCCCCTGACAGAGCCTTTCAATGTCCCTTACGGAGTCGTTCAATGTCCCTTACAGAGTCTTTTAATGTCCCTAACAGAGAATTTCAATGTCCCTGACATAGCCTTTTAATGTACCTGACAGAGCATTTGAATGTCCCTAGCAGAGAATTTCAATGACCCTCAGAGAGTCTTTCAATGTGCCTTACAGAACCTTTTAATGTCCCTAACAGAGAATTTCAATATCCTTACCTAACAGAGCTTTCTATTTCCCTACCTAACAGAGCTTTCTATGACAATAACAGAGCTTTAACTATGAGCTCCACTCTCTATCACTCCTCTGCCACGAGTGATAGAAAATGGCTGATGGTAGACATGTTCAATTCGTTTCGGGCGGAATATGAATTTGGACTAATTTTTGGCAATTCGGACATTCGGGTACGAATTACCGAGGTCCAGAAGTTCCGAAATAATCGAATTTCCGAAGTGTCGAAGTGCCGAAGTTGCTGAAGTTCTGAAGTGCC